CAGTAAGTGGGATAAGGGGTTCTTTTACACATTGGCAACCTGTAACCAGTGGGGTTCGACAGAAATCAGTGTTGGGACCACAACTGTTTACAGTATATATTAATGACTTAGAGGAAGGAAGCAAACATATGATAAATTTGCAGGCTACAGAAAAATAGGTAGAAAGGCAAGTTGAAGAAGGATATAAACAGTTTACAGAGAGATATTGATTGATTAAGTAAATGGGCAAAAAGTTGACAAATAGAGTATAATGTGGGAAGATGTGAAGTTGTTCTTTGGAAGGGAAAACAAAAGAACAGAATGCCAAAAAACTGCAGAAACTTGCACTATAAAGAGATTTGGGGTACTTGTGTATGAAACACAGAAAGCTAGCACACAGGTGCAGCAGGTGGTGAGGAAGGCTAATAGAATGTTGCCCCTTATTTCAAGGGTACTCAAGTATAAGAGTAGGGAAGCCTTACTGTAACTGTACAAGGTGCTGGTGAGACCACATCTGGAGTACTGAGAGTAGTTTTGGTCCCCTTTCAGGAAAGATGCCATTTAATTGGAGGCAGTTCAGAGAAGGTTCACTAGAATGATCCCAGTATGGATGGATTATCTTACAAGCAAATGGTAAACAGGTTGGGATTCTACACACACTGGAGTTTAGAAGAGATTTCGTTGAAAGGTAAAGGATTCTTAAGGAACTTAACAGTAGATGCTGAAAACATGTTTCTCCTCATTGAGAATTTAAGACTGGAGGACACTGTCTCAGAATAAAGAGGTGCTAATTTAAGACTGAGATGAAGGGGAATTTCTTTTCTCAGATGTGTGAGTGATGGGAACTCCTTGCCACAGATAGTTTTAGGGGCAGCGTCCTTGTGTATATTTAAGGTTGACATAGATAGAATCTTGATCAGTAGGGGAATCAAGGGTTATATGGAAAGGACAGAAAAGTGGACATGAGGCATGTTGGGTCAGCCATGATCCTATGGAACAGTAGAGCAGGCTTGAAGGGCTGAACAGCCCACTCTTGTTCTTATTTCTTATGGTCTTATGAATTCTCTTGGGGATGGGGAAGGGGTCTGTCCATTATCTGTGATAACATCAGCTGAAGATTGGCAGAAGGCTGGATAAATTGAACTGAACTTACACAAAAATTATTGTTCCCAATCAGGAGGCATCCAGAGGACATTCCATTGTTTTCTCAACTAAGGTATTTGTGTTCATTTTTAGGGCCAATTCGCTATGAACCCTTCCTTGGCTTGAAAGATTTACAGTGGAAGTTATATAAAGGAGCTTTGAGAAGACAAGCACCTGAAGTGTTAATGGATGAACGTAAATGCTTAATACAACCCATTTTAACAAGTGCTCCACATAAAGGAAGTCTTTCTGTTCCTTTGATCTGTAAAGGTAACAAGTATATAGAAGCGTTCTAGACACACAGCTGTGACCTATGCTCTGGATAATATTTTTGAGCAACTAATAATAAATCATTTTTCTTTCAAATCTGAAAGATCTACCAAGTTTCTGATTTTTCTAAACTGAAGAGCATTGATTGCAACTGTTGAGATATAATTTTTGGGACATATTTCATGCTCTGTATGTAACTGATTGCATGCTACAAAGTTAACGTTTTTCAAAAGATTCCCAGTGTATACTAAATTAACTGATCTAAACCACAACAACAAAGTGTTAACTTCTTAAGTTGTGAAAAGCTCATCCAGTTTCTGCATCTTATCCAGGCTGGAAATGAATTCAGTTGAAAGTAGGAAATGTTCAGGGAATGTCCCCATATGCACATATGTTTCGCAGCTTCTTTCATTATTTTTTAAAAATTAAATAAACTCGTCTGTTGTAAAATCATGAAGGGGTCTAATGCATGCATGTGACCCAGATCTGCTACTTCCTCATCAAATATGTTAAAAATAAGGATGTTAAAAATTTATTGTTTAATGTTTTGTAGACAGGTTTGATTTGGAAGCAGTTTGGATTGGACTGGCACTCTCCAAGGACACACACAACAGTTTGTCAGGAATGTGATTGAACCTGCATAACCCTCCCACAGTACTGTCCCTCTAACAATATAGAACTCCTTCATTACTTTACTGGAGATAAGATATTGATTTCAAATGGGACTTGAATCCACACACTCCTTCTTCGAGTTTAGTGTGATATAAAAAAATGCGGAAATTAAAGCGTTAGGAGCTAGTACAGAAAATAGTACAGTGCTGGTCTAAGACAGCGGAAGAGCTTCTATGGGACTGCTTGGAATCAATAAACTACTGAGCAGCTAAGTACGCCACTACTGTTACAGACTTCATTAGCAAGTGCATAGAAGAGTGTTGTCTGGAACAGTGTGTCCCTAAGACCCTGCAGACTCCTCAACCAGTGTACACAATATTAATTTACCCAGGCACCTCAGAATGTATCAGGAAAGGACTACAGAGCACAAGTCTGCAGTCAGTGAACCAAGTTGCTACTTTATTTGAAGACAATAAAGGTTAAGAGTTAAATTTTACATTTTTAACAACAATTGGTAATACTTCCCAGAAGGTTTTAATTGATTAATATGTATATGTAAATCCCTGAATTCATTTCAAGACACGGTCCGAGAGAAATAAAGATTTTATCAGTGTAAAGAATAGGTGACATTTTAGATCAGACAATACATGTTAAGTGTGAGGCCTTGCTTAGAATCTGTTTTTGTTTTAGTTTGGAGTTAGACTAGTTTTATTTCTAAAGTTGGAATTTATAAAACACCATATTGACTGACCGTAAATTGTGTGCTTTTTGAACAAAATAAAATGTATCTGCAAATACAAATTCACCCGATAGGTTCACTGTATGTGTGTGTGAGAGAGAGAAAGAGAGAGAGAGAGTCATGGTAACCTCTGCAAGACATGTCAGATCTTCGACGTGGACACTACCATCACGCATGGGAACACCACCCACCATATTGTCTATCTTATATGCTGCAAGCAAGATTGGCGAAACCATGCAAATGCTATGACACTTTCTCAAACGTGCACACACACACACTCTCTCTCACACGCGCACACACTCTTTCACATGCACAAACACTCTGCCTCTCTCCCACACACACACACTGTCTCTCATATATACACACACACACTCTCTCTCACTCACACACTCTGTCCCTCACACACACTGTATCTCTCGCACATATTCTCTCTCCCTCACACACACACA